CTGTCAATCGGGTACCTTATTGTCCTCTATTGTTCAGGGTCCCCAATTGAATGCAGAAACAAACTCACGCACACACACATATATAAGCATTTCATATTACCCTTTGACTTATTACACCAGCAGTGCTGGTAAGCATGTAGTTAATTCTAAGGTTCTTGTTTCAAACCCACCCTTATATTTGGCTAGTTTCCCGACTGACCACCCTCTCTCAAGGTAAAAAGACATGACAGCCATAGAATTAACTTAAGATGCATACCTCAATGGTATGAGGCACACGGCGGAGCAAACTGTACTTCAGAATGATTTTTAAATCCTTTCACTCCATATCATAAGCAGAATAGCACACAGCATAGTTTGGAAGTTGAGAACACAAATAAAAATAAGATAAAATAACTAAAAACCAAAAATACATCAAACAAAATAATCGAATAAAATCAAAATAAGAACATGATAAAATGGCTAACAAATGAATAAAAGCAAAACAAGTACCCTGACGATAAACCCTTATCTTATTGTACTTACAGTTGCTGGCCAGTTGATCACCGTGATTCGCTTGTCCAGATGGATCAGGAACAAAATGAAGAGGAATATTGTAAAAACCATCGCTGTTACACAGACGAAGATTGGATAGCCATTCCAGAAAACACACACAGCTATCATGATCAAGGCCATCAAATTAAGGAGCTACAGAAAGATTGAACAAAGATAACACTGCGTTACAGGTACATGTGCCAACAATTAAAAACTAAAAACAAAAATACAAATTTCATGAGTGAAACTGCTTGCAAGCTGGAAACGGAGTCAATTTTGACAAAATTCGCTTAGCACACTGCTGCCATAAGCAGTGCTCCACGTGCAGAGCCTCGATCTGTCAGCTTTATACAATAAATATAGCCAATGCAGAGATTCGTATGTTGCTTATGTAATTTTGCACTTGCTGCGTTAGTTCTTATACCGTGCCACTGGACAGAGGAATTCTGACGCATTTGTATAAGCTGCCAGTTCGAGGCTCTGCATGCCTATGGCAGCAGCATGTAAAGAGCGAATAGGGCTTGGTTTGATTTCCAACAAGTTTTTGTGGTCCAAGATGGACAGCTCAAAATTTTCATCAGTTTCCACTGTTAAACGTAAAGGGGAATTAATTTACGTGAAAAAAGTGTTTCTATCTATAAACCCCCCCCCAAAAAAGAACTTGGTTTCATTCTAGTTGTAGCCTGCGATCAGATGCAGAAAGCAGGTGTGAAATATTCGAGTGAAAGGAAGATAAGTACAATATGAAAAAAAGACTGCTTACACAACTTACTGGCTCCCCCTTTACCATGGAAATCTGTGCTTCTTTCATAATCGCAAGAAATGATCATACAAAATTTGCTACATTCAATCTGTCACACAGCCAGTAGAGCCACTAAAGGTGTATTTAAATAGTGAAATTTACTAGTAATAACTTTTTGCAAAAACTACCCAGTTCAAGTGTTTGCAACACTTACTTTCTTCCCATAAAGTACTGCAAAAGGAAATGCAAAGCAATATGGACAGCTTTTCTCAATCAACACACAATCAGTGGGCAGTGCAAGACAGTGCACGAGGGCAAGGCAGTGGACACAAGCTTGAAACACTTGCAAAAGGATTGATCTGTTGAGGCTGGGTTGGCTTCTTTTCAGAGTTCTTGAGAAACAACATTCAGCCACACAAAATGTGTGAGTTAATTTCTCTTAATAAAGAGTGAAAAGAGAAGTGAGACTGTCTGTATCAAAGTAAGCAGGGCCTTAGTGTTTACAAAGTCTTTGCATCTACTTTCAATGTTATTAATGTTTCTGAATGAAGTACAAAGTGATGCATGTGTACGGTAGCTCAGTGTCCAATAGACTGATCCATGAAACTTGCCCTGTTTTCTGACCAATCATGGCTGTGATTTACATCCGACGTGCGTGCATGCGCGTACGATGCAAGGGTAGAACACGTAGTGTGGAATGGAAGTGCTAAGCGCCCACGTGTGCAGTGGGTGGGGCTTACTGGATTGGTCTACCGTCACAAAAGGTCAATTTTTCTGAAGGACGGCAACTTGCTTGACCAAACAAACCAGAGATTGGTACCCTGATTAAGTGGTCTCTACTCTGGTGCACATTACTGACAATGTTGCATATATGTACAATGCAAGGGCTGGACTGGGGAAAAAAGCTGCAAATTTATTTCTTCACTGCTTTGGCATATGACCTCACACAACCACAGAATGCTACTTTAAACTTCACCTACATGTACTGAAGAAACGACTCAATTAGGTAAAAACAAGGTTTATGTACTGGTACTGACAACCTTGATTTGAGAACTGTACTCAGTGTGTGTGTGTGTGTGCACACTGATCATCCCCCTACAAGGCATACACATGTGTCAAGTAACAAGATATAATTCCATTATGTCAACGAGAAATTAAGGCCACTGCAGAACAATTCATAACGACTTCACTTCCACTGCTGATTAATCCTGTCAAACGCAAAAGATACGTTTCAATTTGATGAACTTCTGGGAGGGAAAAAATACAACCACTGTCTTTTTAGGCACTTTGTGTTATGAATTATTAAAAGTGACAAACCCAATCTGTAAATAAAACAGAAAAACAATATCTAAAACAAAACAAACCAGAAACAAAACAAAAACGCTTTCCCCTTCAACTGAAATTGTGTAATCACAATCTGACCACACTATTATAATTTTTTCCAGCACTAATTATGGCTTTGTCACCGACACCAATACTCAACTCGAGATCAATTTCATATCAGTGTATTTCTGTCTGGCCACCTATCATTCTGAGATGAACAATCTGCAACACTCCTAGGAACAACTAACACAATTAAGACACAGTGCATGTTGCCTTCCATTTGCTAGACTTTTATAGGATTCAAGAACGCACTAAAAGCAAAAAGGAAAACAAAATAGTCCCACTTTCAAAAAATACAATCTTTCATTACACAATGAAAAACAAGTACTTTGGGCTGTTGTGACTTGAGAAAAAAAAATCGAACAAGTGGAATAAAAACAACTGTGATGAAAATTTCATAGAACTTCACAGTGGCCAATAAGCAAGCACACTGAATATTTCTTTCAAGCATTTTCAAAGAAATATGTCTGAGCAACTTCAGTAAACTGACGCGTCACTGTCATTTCCAGGATTAGGTTTTTTCTACATGTCACCTAACGGCACTTTCAACCCCGACTGTCCAAGGCAATGAACAGATAAGAAAAAAATCTCCATGAAGAGTAAACAGAAATTTTTTTCCTATTTGTACATAATAAACTGTATTCTAACATATTTGTTAAGTACTGAAACCTGATAAAACTAGGAAGTATTTTGGTAAAAATAAAAAACATGCACATTGTGCTCACATAATGTGTGCTTTCAACAAATGCTATCATGCAAATCAGAATTTAGAATTGAATCATCACAAAATGACAATGTCACACATTCATTTTATTTTCACTTTTTAAGCTTTAAATTTCGTCCCCAAACAATGAATATATTCAAATAACAGGAAAAGGTTGGTAAGGGGTCATCCATGTTTGTCATCATTTTCACAAGCATACAAACCGTACGCTGGGAGAAGGGGGTGAATTGGTTGCGTTCGCTTTAGAAACATCTTAAAAATGATGATTATCATCGACCGGCTAACTATCACCCCCCAACTACTGTGTGTGTGCTGAGAGTGCGCAGGACTCTGATGCATCATTCATACAAGCTTGGGCAAAGGCTATTTCATAACCACTCAACGGTTTTTGCCTGGTGTCATATATGAAAAAGTACAGACACAACCACCAGGCAAAAATCATTAACTTTGAAATCACAGTCACATGTGAAAGAGTCTTCAAGCTTCCCTCAAAGCTCTGTAGTGCTGTGTGTGCAATGAGGTTTGGTACCCAGACACAAGTGTGTTTTAAAGTTCATGTATGCATTTTCCCTTGTGTGGAAAGGTGCCCTGCTAAATGCACAGCATGCAAGTTTGTACATGTACGCAAGGATGCAACAAATCATTGTAACCACATAGGCCTCGCTGTATACTTTTTACCACTTTCTGTAAGCTTTTGTGAAGAGGGAAAAACATTAAATCAAAGGTACATTTGCTGACTGCTGTTCTTGGCCACAAAAAATGGACATTTTCACATATATTTTAAGAAAAAAGTACCTGTCCATCGGGCAATTTGTCCTTAATTTTCACTTGTCCGAACTGAAAGAAGAAATCTGTCCCGGGCAATCAGAAACCGCAAATGTCGAGGCCTGTCATGGACAAAGTTTTTCCTCCTGCCATTATTCTCTGGTGGTCTACTGCACATTAACAGCCTTACAATCATTTTATTTTGTAATCTTTTAGAGGGGCAGGGGGTCAGGAAGAAGAGTACGCTTGTGAAAATGATGACAAAAATGGATGACCCCTAATTCATCCGTACAATGAATTCACACCAAGTCAATGACCATAAACAATTGTCAATATTGCTAAAGAGGCCAGATTCCACACCTTTCATAAGAGACATGCCAACTTCATTTTTCTGTGCACAAATTATCTCACAGCTAAACACAGCTGGACGAATAGGGCCAAGAATGAAACTAACCCACCAATTTGGGTTAAATTCCTACTGATTTTCACTGTCCAACTGTACGCCCAACACCTCAAAACCATCTAAGGTGCTATTCATGGCTCACAACCCAAGAGTAAGTCACTCCATTATACAGTCAAAACACATGACCTTTGTCTTATCGCTAACAGTTTTACACAGGGACAGGTGCAGGGCACAACAGCCTAGACTATATATGCCACATGGTCTTCTTTTCTCTGACATGATGCACCTAAACACTGCCTTGTTCACGTCCAGCATACAGATCAACATTTTTAATAATCACACAAATATGCATGTATCCACTTCCTAAATTCGGCAGTGACCTTTGTCCCCATCCGATGCAAGTGTAAAGTCCGTATTTATTCAAACCACTGTCAGTGTACATTTATATGGACATGCAGTGTCAACCACAGCACACAACGATGTCATTCTTTTTATACATCATAAAGGAGTAAAATCTGCCCTCTCTACATCAAGCTAAACCAAGCACAATTATAGTTTTCTTACATGTTGAAATACTAAATATTAGCATATTCAAGGCACAAGACCACTTTACATTTAACCTCATGATTCTCAATAGATTACAATTTTAAAAAAAAGAAGGAAAATCAAGCTTTCAATAATATTTATGCACGGCAATTGGAAAAATACAGCTCAACAGTTTTGTAGGCTATACAGCTTCATAAACAGACATTGGTATCAAATAAAGGACACTAGTTTACAATAATTCTACATGGCTACGACTAACTAGAGAACAAGTACATGTAAGTTTTACACATGTATTACACTATGCAGAATATATTATACAGTCCAGTGATATGCTGCAGTCACCCCCATCAACTGAGTCTCCCAAAAGTCCCGACATTTCATTGTTTAATTCTCCATCTCTAGCTGGTACATGTACATTGGACATACAGGTGAAGTTCTTCTTTCAGTTCAAATGAATTGAATGACTGTCTGTAACTGAAGTGTGAACCACCATGTGCATGCAACGTGCCAGCACCACAGGATGTCGTTACTAGGTAGCAAGGTGCCCTCGCTTGTGCATGCACATATAGTCTATAGAGCAAAGGGGTCTAATGCAAGTGCTCAAATATGCTGTTATCCTCACTTTACATAAGTACTGCTAAAACTGAACATTCTGAAGGATGTAAACAAATACAACATTGTGGGTGACTTTGTACATGTTGTTTGCACATCACGTGCACAACAGCAGAAATGCAGTGACATTTATAGGGACAGTTTGGGAAAACACCAGCTAGCTCAGGGCATCAGGGCAGGTTCTAGACCCATATCCAGTCAAGTGGAGCCTAGGGGTTGGGGTAAGCAGGGGGCATGTCACCCCCCTTCTCTGCCGAGTACTCAGTGGTGGTGACAGTGGTGGTGGTGGTAGCGGCAGGTGCTCCTGTGGCTCCGCTCCCCCCAGTCAGTCGGCTCAGTCCCCCACCAGCTTGGAATCGGCGGAAGTCAAAGAAGGTGCTGATTCCGTACAGGATAGTCACGGCGAACCCAAGCACCTGCAATGTAAAATGTAAACCAGATGTTGTTGGACAGATGAAACAGTTTAGGGTACTCTCAATGACCCACGCTGACCTGACACACGCACCCACCATTTTAGGTAGCAAAGACTGCAGTAACATATACAGTATTTACACTGTAGTCCAGCCTTCAAAGGCGGGAGAAAAACCTGGAGCCAACACCCAGTGTGGGACAGGAATGATAATGATAACCGTATGATACATTGCACATGGCGCAAGCAGTAGCTGGTATGCACTTGGATTAAGTATTTACAGTTATTCTATACCCCTATTTAACAATGGACAACGTGACTGTGTATTAACATTTGATACCACCCACTACGATTTGATAATGTATGCTACATAAAAAATAGCTGGCACCAATGGCAATCTATTCCTATTGGTCAAGAGCATATGCACTGCAGCAAGCAGAACTCACCATGCGTGCCCCAAGTCCATAAAAGGAGATTCTTTGGATTACTTGCACATGGAATATACCACAAAATGGACAGGGGTGCTCGGGAATATGAAGGTAAAAGTCTTGAACAAAATCCTTGGAAATTTATCATATATTGACTTCTTTTGACTCGCTGACTAAAATGGTATTTATGAATGGGAATAAATACATGTATAGGCTTGGTTGGTCTTGAACTAACATTTAAGAAGGAAAATGAACACTGATAATGCATCCATTCTCCCGAGTCAAAAAGCACATTTAAGACCAGTCACGCACATATTCATTCCCTTATAAAAAAAGCCCCTCTGTCAAGGTTATGTCAAATACTTTCCTGAAGTAATGGTGGCCGATCCCTGGGAAACCATGTACAGCCACACGGTACTAAGACACCTTTTGATTGGACCCTACATGTATCTGTACAGTGTATGACTGTTCTGGACAAACTTTCTCATTTATACATGTATGTATATTTTGGACACATAATAGTTATCTGACAGTGAAAACATGGATAAAGGATTGACTGGGCATCTTGAAATAAATCCACCAGTTGGTAAGGAAATTGGCAGAGTCGTTACAACTGCAAATCAAGCATGTAGATAATACTCACAGCTGAAAAAGACACACATCCATGGTTATAGTAGAATCCAAAGGAGTAAATATTAGCAGCGAAGTTGGCTACTAAACAAGCCGCAATGAAATGCAATATGGCCCATCCTAGGTCGTGAAATAACTCCTAAAACAACGGGAAGCAAAGGAGAGACAAAACAGGTACCTCAGATTGGTGATGAAGGAAAAAAAGTCAACATATTCTTTTCTATGTTGTCTTACATGTGCAACAATGTTAAACAAAGAGTAAAAGTCATTATCCACCGTTGCTATAGAACCTTCAAGAATTCTAAAAGAAATCCTCCATTCTGCAGTAAACCATCAGCACATTCTTTGGACATCAACTTTCAAGGAACACAAAGCCCTGTGCTTGTAGCTGACAAGACACGTGAGCCCTAATTCATGGCCGGGCTCCTCCCCCCTAAAATCCAGAATTCAAAAAAACAATTCTTAACCTGATGGTGGAAACATCTGGCAGGGTCTGGGCGAGTTCACTAAATGGCCTCCCAAATGGGGTGACCCCTGTTCAAGTCTCACCTAGTCCATCAGGCGAATGTTTTTCAGTTCGGAACTGTCTGCACTGTCAGCTCCAATTGACTACACAACAGAACACTGAGTTCTACATGCATGTGTATGGACACGTTTATTTTTCTTATTTTTTTTTAATCTACAGTGTAGCTGGGAAGACTCATTAAAAGCCCCATAGATATCAATATTTTGCCGAGTTTTAGAGTCAAAAGCAAATGCAAACCAACTTGGAAGGTTCCCAATGATTTTCTGCCATTTGCCATTCAATACTTGAAAGTACACAGGTACGTGTACATGTAACTTCTGAAGACTAATCATAACCTGCTTACAAAGCTCCAGGGCACCTGATCTGATCATGTACTTACCGTCAGGACCCAGTGAACAGCCGGCACTCGCTTGTCCAGTTGCAACAGGAATATCACAAAGAATATTATGGTGAAGATCCAGGATACGATGGATATACCCAGAGGGTAACCCCCTACTGGACAAGATGCCAACAAGATCCAGTACAGTAGCAGAACACACTGATGAAAGAAAAACACCCCCAAAAAATGGTCACTAGATGAGTATATCATCATGCACAACTTACAAAGTACTCTTGCTGGACAGCAAGGGAGACGTAGACCTTGGAAGAATGAATACACTAGTAGAATCATTCATATATTCTTGGGCACTGTGATGTACATGGCAAAGGTTTAATCTGCTTTGCACATTTCTTCTCTCTCTGCTTCTACATGTACGTGTATTTCTCTTTTTTTGGGGGGGGAGACACGGGTTAGCTATATGTCTGTATACATGGTACATGCTTCAACATTGGGATTTATGTACTTTAATTTCCATATCTCTGTTCCATTCTTTGAGCTTATGATTACATTTCAAAAACCAAAAGTTCAAAAAGGCTTCAAAAAGGATTGTAAATTTGTAATTATTGTCTTGGTTCCAATTTCATCTGCTGGCAATTCAACAATTTGTAAACAGCATTATGATTAACATGAAGGATAAATTTAAACAAAAATCTAGGGCAAAAGTACATAATCGCCTCACAGATGTACCACTACAAAGCAGAATTTATGAATGAAGATGAATAAATGAAATGAATGTCTTTGATAACATATCACTCCTTATTTCAAAACTGATGCAGTGTGACCCATGATGAATGGCATTAAATGTACTTTGCTAAGAACATCATTTCCCATCAGAGTGACTCTACTGATTTGGACCCTGAAAGGAACACAACATCCAAGTTTAATGATCAGATTTGAGTAAGACCAGAACAGGCTAAAAAGAAAAGCATTCAATTCTTTAATCAACAGTAAACTTGAATTGAATTTCCATTCTTTTCCTCTGATGAGATTGGCAACTCCATAACAGTGTGTTGTCAGAAAGCAGATGGATAGAATGTCAGTTACACTAGTTATAAATGCTTTACACCTGGGTAAGTGTCACCCTACCCTATGGCGACCTTGACCTTTGAAATTTGAACCAAGACTTGCTACTTTTCCTTATCCTAAAGATAACACTTCAGCAGATGTCTGACCCATATTGGCTTCAAATGACAAGAAATGTGGGCTACGGTGGAGTAATATGGCAATTCATATTCCAACAGCATGTGCACAAAACAGCACAGTCATCGTAGGTCACTAAGAATGAATACACATGTACGAATGAGCTTAAGATCAGCCCTTCCATGACACCAGTTCATTTTATCTTGAATTGACCTTGCCTCATTGAAACAATGAATTGACTTAATTTAGCACGCAAATGAAGCTGCAACTGAATGACAAGTAAAATGGATGACAACGGAAAGTGGAAATGCCCTGATCTGCACATGAGAATTTTATTCTTGGCAGTTGAAAGCGCAGTGCATGTACACGAAAAGCGGTGTGTAAGCAACGGTGAAACCGCTTACCGCTGTAGATGTTGAATTCAATCACACTGACGGGCGCATATTCTGTTGAAATTTGCCGATGTGAGATGGCAGATTCCATCGGATTCAGCCATTCAGCAGACTCTTACGTGGTGTGTTGTTGGGATTTTATTTGAATAGAATCCATTACTGGATTATTCAATATTACCTTGAAATCTATCCGACAAATTTACCAATATCAAACTATTAATAATACCGAGACCTCAAGAGCGTTGATACTGGGAATGATGGTAATCATTCCATTCACCATTTATGAAGTTCTTCCCTCTTGTACATGTACTGGTACATGTATGTCATGTAATATTACATACAGTATGTACATGTATAAAGTTGAAAGCCCCAGATTTGGGCTGAGATGTTTGCAGATGGAGATCCGGTCCAAGGACAAGTGTTTGACACTTCATGTGCGCAGGCACACAAGATTTGGCCAGGTTTAATAGAACAATTGTGCAAGGGAGGGTTGGAGAGACTTCTAATGGGGCCTGGCAAGGTAACAGATTTAAAGCTCAACCGAAAGAGCTTCGCAAACTCAAAGAAGAAACTTCAACATGTATATGGTGGGAATGGGTGTTAGCGATCGGGGAATTAGTGCGAAGAGAGGTCGGGCACGGAAAAGTGGGACTTTACAGAAATGATCTCCAATAATGATGTATTAACAAACATACCCAAAGGTGACAATTGCCCCACCAAGCCAACGCATAAACCCTGAAAATTTGTGATTACAGCAAGATTGACCTTTTTGACCTCAAATGCAATTTAAGCTTCTCAGGAGGTAGGACCATCAAGTGCAATACACATACCAAATTTGAAATCTCTATGGGACACTCTATGGTACAAGTACATAGAAGGAAATCTCAAGTTTAGTGTGCTGACAAGATTCTTCTAGAGACATGTACTGAACACCTGTTCAGTAGCTGTGGGGACATACATGTACATGTACACTCACATTTTCGACTACTTTCGGACCGAAAATGTTGTGGGGAAGAAAAAGGTCCCACAACACAGTTTGTACTTTCCAAACAAAAGAAATTGTCTCAATGCAATACAAGCCTAACCGCACACACCCACGGAAAGGACAAGGCGGAAACAGCATGCCCCTATGACTTTGTGAGGGAAATCTTGGTTGAAGAAGTCTAATTCTTTTACCTTGGGCAATGAGAGTAGAAAGTGCAATGTTTTGTGGATCTGTCTCAGAGCATTTTTCACTTTTGTACCTTGGATTTTGATTCTTATTGTAAAAGGCTCTACTGGTACCATTTTTCTCCTCCCAACTCCCTGAATATACAGTGCCATAACAACCTGAAGTTGGCAGCCACTCATAATATGTTCAAGGTCATGGTACATGTGAATGAAAACAAAAACCCAAGCCAAGTGCCAAAAAGCATACCAGTAGTAAATGTACATGATCTCATTATTCCAGGTCTTACTGACAAACATTTGTACATGTTGGGCTCTAGAAAACATAAGTGCTATGTAGTCACTGTGAGGGATGGACTGGACACCTCAACAAGTTTCATCACCAATACTCAGTCTTCAGTTTTTGACACACTAATTAGCAATCAGACTCAACCTTTTGAGAATATACATGTATGGTAAAGTTCTGCATGCAAGATGTGCACTTGGTGTTGATAGATGCAGGCCAAGAGATCAATGTACAGATGTGTACAGAGATCAATATGGTACAGTCATTTACATGTACCTGTAGAGTAGGCCTACATGTATATGCAAAGGGCCAAGGCTTACCCTCATAACGAGCACACATCTTCAGTTTACTTTCTGTTATTCCTGCACGATTTATAGCATTTACATGTACATGTAAAATTATTTACTGGTACATGTACATGTACATGTAGATGATGGACATGTACTGTACGTGTCTTACAGTTTTACTGCCTTGTACACATAGCTACTGCATTTATGTGGCAACTGGACAGCCACTGCCTAATTGGGGACTGGGTTAATTTCCAAAGTATGAACATTATTAGATTATGATTTCGTCCCCCCTCTAGCTTATGGAGCCTTTTTGTTCAAGCTAATGAACTCCAGTGGTGAAACGCCTCCGGCTTGCTGGCATGGAATTCCCCAGGTTCCTTCATTCAGGAATGCATGAACTTTGACCGCATCATTCTCCTCTGTCATAACATTAACCTCTAACTCTTCATATGTACAGGTGCATGTACATGTATATGGTACACAGATATGGCAAATGCTGATGCCCAATGCATGCACTTTACCCATGTACTGCATGGTTCATGACTAAAGACTAGACTTCCAGTACATTATACTTTTTCACAACAATTTCACGATAGGCCTCAATGTACATTAATTATGCATTGTAAAAATGATTTAAAACTCCAATTGAAAGTTAATGCAACATAAAATAAGTAACTTGAAGTCAAAGATGTGTACATTTGTAAGTACATGTAAGTGTGACACACTTCGTACATGTATGTGGAAGTTCACAATTGGCCAGTAACTTTGTTTAAGGAACTGTACGCACATTAATTAATGTTTCCTGACATGTTACCACTTCTACTATTCTGATTTGAAAAAGATTATGGAATTAATTAATAAAACAAACTTTCAACCTTGGGCACAATACATCAGTGGTGACAAAACTGCCGGCCAAAATGTCATACCGGTATCTGTTCAGAAGTATGCCCACCAACTACCCAACCGCTTGTCCTTAGGGTTGGTGCCACAGAATAATGCAGCAACCCATGGTGATCTGATTAGCTGATTCACATACACTGACATACATGTACAGCCTGTTTGTTTTACACAATCTTGATCTGCATGTAATCAGTGATCCAACATTGTTTAAACTTACACCAGAACCTGCCTAGTGGATGATGCAAACCAGCTTTGGGACCACTGATCCAGATGAAACAAACAGGCCCAATGAGTCCAACCATGGTCCAACCCAACCACACCCAACTTCATAAACAGTACCACTGTGGGTCAACTTTGAATTTGAAACAGTCAACCTTTCCACCCTGGCAGCCACTCGCCCCTTGGGTCTGTCTCATTCTTTGACCTGTGGAAACCCAAGGGGTTTCTCTCCTTGATTTTGTGCTTAGGTCTACATGTAAGTTTCATCCTTGACTTTTCTTTACTCTCGATGCCTGCTGTATTCATTTCTAAATCTGTCTTTTCCTCATTGTCTGAATTTGTTTGTTGGTGATAATCATATTCAATCACAATAATAAAGAAAAAAAAAGTTTCCAGAACTTTTTTCCCTTCTCCCTCAAGTGGCAAGTCTGGGAAATTAACCAAAACCAAACAAAAGTTCTTACAGAGTGTTAGCTCAGATAAACTGGCAAGGTAAATACGACAGTTGCAAGACTGCCATGATCATCCATTGCGGCAAATTTCAATGCAGTTTTCTTTTCAGCCGCATGCAACTGGCTGCATTTAGCTGGGTGCTTCAAGACAGCCCGATAAAGGTTTCTCATACCTGACATCCAAATTGTTCATGTAGAACTGATGAAAAAAAATGTCTGGAGGGAAAGAGGAATTAGGCACCTCAAAAATAAAATGAGTAAAACTTAAGAAAAAAAAATGTGAATGATTGCATACCAATGGACATCACTGGACGGCAACGCTCTTGTCGTTGAGATCGAAGTCGCCATCTTGTTCAAATAGCAATTTCAACATTAGTCCTGGAAACAACGTTATGGCGTGCCGGCCTAGCGGATCATTCACCAAAAGCATGCTGTGTTGGCACACGCTCACCTATGACCGATTCCTGAGCGCGACAATGTCCGGTAGTTGTGATCACACCAAAAGTGTACACCGGACATTGCAGCGCTGACAGGGATCAGTCATTGGAGCGCATGTGCCAACACGGCGTGCTAGGCTGGCGCACCATGACGTCCTCTCTGTGACATTAACACACAGTTTGAATAGTTATTTGAACAAGATTTAGAGCTCGACGACAAGAGCGTTTCCGATTTCAAGGGGAAATTTCTCTTTACTTCCGAAATGTGAGTAAACCTTACCATTATTATTGGAATCTCCTATTCCACTTAACCTAAAGTGGACGCCTTAGACAGTTTAACCCTAACCTTCCCCAACCACACAGAATTAAACAGTAGTTAAGTGTTTAATTCTGTGGGGATAGGTCTAGTAGGTCCATAACAGCTGGCTTTTGCATTGGGTTTGGCATACCTCATAAAAACAAAGTCCAACAGCCTCTGTGCACAAAGTTCCATATAGGTGTTTAACTTTGTGTGAATGGGGAAGGTTAGGGCCATCAACCCTTGGGGGGGGGGTTAGGGTTAAGGAGGTGAATTCGGAGGATTTTGATTCAAGATACGAGCTATTATGAGGAATTGAAAGGAAAGCCTATGGAAGGTACTTGGACTCTAGTATCACCTGATCATGTACAAAATGTTTTTTAAAAAAGGCAATTTGTAGAGTCCAAGTTACTCAGACTACCTTTTATGCAGGTAAGTCAAGTGTTTACACATTATGATAAACAAAACATGGAGGAATTTATGCTTCCATCAACAAAATCATGTAGACTGGCCTATGTATTTTATTTTGTTTTCAGGTTATAACAAGATTCTTTGGTAAGTCTGCTTCCATTTCGACGTGGTTTATTCTTCTTTATGTTAAAATTTCTTTCTGATGAGAACTTTAAGTCAGCCATGCTTAGGTGGCAATGTTGGGGCCGCATGTGTGTCAGTTCAACATTACATTAAATGTGCCTGTTGTTCTGGAAAATCAACAGCACATTTAACAACTGCATACTTTTTAGCATAATAGGTGAATAACCCTCCAGAGAAAAGGAGGGGGGATATATATTTATTACAAAAGCCAAATGACGAGTAACATGCATTGCTACAGGTGGAGCCTCATTTTCATTCATAAAACCTCAGCAAATGAATGCACCCAGTGCCAGTCTTGGCAATTCAAATGGGTGAAAATCTTGGTTTAGATGTGACAAAATCATATTTTGAGGGAGGGGTAACCAGTAGCAAATGAATTTCGTTCAGCCTGGCTGCTGCTATGACCAGGAAACTCACATTGGACAAGATGCGTGACGTGCTGCGCCGTGTATAGCTGGGACAAATACATTTATTTAAGAATAGAGCCTGAAAGTAAAAGCTCACGCAGCGAGCTTCCGGAACCCTTGCCTGGTCTGCCTATGGGGATTTGACATTGGGTTGTCCTATCACGTTCGATAAATTTTGGAAAAATAATTTCCTACTGAAACCACTCCATGAAACACTCATGTCAGAATTTTACTTTTGTCTTCCTCGCGTAATATTTTGGAAAAGTCACCTGGAGACGGGTAAAAAGCGAATGTTATTAATGACCTTTCATGTCCGGCGATATTGTACCAGGCCTCCTTGTTCATACACGTTTGTTTTCATTCGGCGTGCTTTCTTGAAAACGAGATTGTACAAGCTAGCAAAGATTTACCTTCCTGCAGTTGATGGGCTCCACATTCCGTTGAGTTGACATTACGCAGTTTTTGTCAGCAAAGGTTAGATAAATATTAAAATCTTTCGTAAAAGTAGAATATTGCTTTATGTTTATTACCTTATAAAGTATCCAAGTGTGTAAAATATTTTGATCTGTTTTTATATCGGATTTTAACCACAGATAACCACAAAATTTTAAACCGTAAATATTCATTGCATGTGAGACTGCCACATTGCGCTGTTCTTCATGTATAGTATTTTAGATTTTTGGAAGTGATGGGTCAATTTTTGGCAGGATATTTCTCTTTTAGATCAGGTAATTTTTCAGTTTCTACAAATTGATTACTAGCAAATATTTTTCAAAGCCCTTTTTCCAAGTTGGATTTTTAAAAAAGAAACTGGATGAAAAAATAATACAAATTCTAAAATCTTTGCATGTTATTTTTCCTATCCAAGGGTTCCAGAAGCGCGCCATCAGGGATCAACTTTCAGGCTATATTGGCAAAGTGTGAACAATTTCAAAAGCAAATGCAGGTTTCCAGATCACAGCAGCAGACAGGATGGTCTCACAATGAAAACAACACAATGTCATCCCCTGCCACTGAAAATGGCCAAGCCAAGATATGGGGCAAGTGCAGTCATTGGTGAGTTCAACGCATGCACAGTCTGATAAACACAAACGGCATGAACGGAGGGACAGTCAACGGGTGGAAGCGAGAAATTGGTGAGCAAAAATCTCATTTTTTTTTTAAATACTCCGTCTCATGCTCTGAAACTTTTCTTACATGTCTTAGGCCTATCCCCTTTTTAGGAGGTAAAGATCAAGTAGGTATATTCTGACAGGGGAAAATTTGATTTAATAGCTTTCTTATGGCTGTGAATCATTTCACCACAAAAATTCAATTCCATTGCGGATGTGTTACGATGCCATGTAAACCTTGTCTCCTCGTCACGGAGTATCATGGGGTTAGTGACTTAGAGTTCTCGAAGGGGGGTCCTCTCGTAGTAGGGGTAACCGTGGGCCATACTAATCCGCGTCAACTCACCGTCAACACTTACAAAATGCATTGAAAACAGAAAATACACGTATCGAACTGTAATGTATACGCCTTAAAATAATTTCTATTTAATTGAGTTTACATTTTACTCCATTTGTGTTGACGTGTGTTGACGTTACTATCATGTGTTGACGGGTGTTGACGTTAATTAGTATGACCGGTAACCGCCACGTCTTTATACAGTAATATCTCGATTAGTCGAAGGCCGTTAAGTCGAAACTCTGTTCACCTTGACGTCTTTCTGTATTCCCGACAAAAGAATTGGCCTTTATGTACAATAAACTATCTGTAACTTGAAACGTCAATACCACTAAAGCCGCTTATCTCGAACTTTTGGCAGGCCAATTAAAAAAAAAACACTGAAGAATGATGAATAAAACGTGATTAAAGAACGCTTGCCTTCATTAGGAGTCATTACGGTCACGCGCACGGTTTTTCCTTGATGAGCCGAGCATGTTCACACGGGCTGCCATTGTCACGTCGACAAGCACTGGGTGGGCATCAACCGCAACCGTAAAAAAAATCAGGCACAAATGATGCACCCTCAAGCCCTTTGTACATGTATCACGTGACCCAGCACGGAAACACTGACTGACTGGCCCGCGCGCTGCGTTATGCGGTAACAGCCCGATCAAGCAAAGCAAATGAATGAATTCTCAAGACGTACACAGGTACCAGTACATAACTTCATTGGTTTATTGTTTATTAACCCTAACTCCCTAGGGTGTGTGCAAAATCATATTAAATTCGGAGGATTTAGGACTGTTAGGGTTAATATACCACATAAAAACATGTTTAATGATGATGTTTGAGGAAAACTTGCACAGTAACTCAAACTTTTCGTCCATTCCCCTGAGTTTCTACTTATCGAGATTTTACTGTAGTTCGAAAGTAGCCAATGACTAAATAAATAAAGTATGGAATTTTTAGCTAATAGAAGTCTTTCCTGAGATTTTTCCTTCAACAATTTACAACACAACACTTACGATCTGAACGATCCGTAGAATCCCCGGTATGGATTTCACATAGCCTATGTCGACCTTCAAGGGAGGGGATTGGACCGTTGTGGTGGTCGTTGTAGCAGTTGTGGTACTCGTGTAGTGGCTGTCCGGAAAAGCAGGATCATCCATGGTTGATGCAGGAATAAATTACTTCGGTAGCCTGCACTCAAGTACGAATCTTTTGAGATCTCACAAAACCAACTTAAAAGACTTGTTAGAGGCCACCTACATGTGGTTTCCAATTCTCAATTTCTGTCCGCCTCTCGTTTCAGCGCGCGTCGTTTGAACTCGATAGCATTGCTAGCTGGCTAGCTTGTACTTTTAGGGTGGATCACAGAGCGCTCTCATCGTTCTGTTCCTGGCGCCCAGTTTTTACAACCGCAGCCACGTTCGATTGGGTGTTTATGTGGCTATGGCTTGGGAAGGTTACTATTTAGTCCTATCTAATCTTTGGTGAAATAGCCTGGTCGCAGACAATTATTGCTTGTTTTGGATATGGACTAGTCTCTACTTCGATTTACGCCCTGTTGGGCTTGAAAATACATGTATACTCTCAACGCAAGGGGGACGCTTGTCTAGCGCGAGCGCAGCGCATGCTAGTGACGAATGGTCACGAGCTGCTGGTGCAACGTGCGTTACGATCATAATACACTTACGCATATATATCGGCATGTACGAAAGCCCAATCGTGCCACGGGCAAAAACAAAATCAGTGGGAAACTAATTCGTTATTACATCTGTGGTATGATTGGGCTTTCGCAGGCATCCCCTTTTTGTTTCTGCATGTACATGTCTGTGTACCAAAGATCCTATAGCGCTGCGAAGCCTTAGTTCGACCCGGGCCACTCCTGGAGTATTGTCAGACGATATGGGATCCACACCAGAAAAGCAACATCGACACTCTTGACAAAGTACAGCGACGTCACGGTGCTGCTAGGTTCATTTTCAACGATTACTCACAAACCTCCAGTGTGTCTGACATCATCTCTAAACTGGATTGGAAATCCCTCGATATTAGACGAATGAAAGCCCGACTGTGTACCTTCTATAAGGAGACACATGGCCTCATCCCAAACAATATTTTTCAACTTCTATACCCGGACCCAACACAAATCGAGTGGCAAGACCTATTACAAGACATCACCATGGTGACCTAATCTACAACCGTATCTGGGCAAACAAAAATAGCTATCTTCACTCATTGTACCCTTGAACAATTCCAGAATGGAATTGTCTTCCAAACCACGTCAGATGTTCTGCGACTCTTGGCGCTTTCAAGGCCGAGATTGACAGAATTGATCTTGCTGTTCTAGATCGGTCCCAACAAGTTCGTTTTACAAATTAATTCTTTTAGTTGCAACCAGATCCCTTGCGGCGTCATCTGTACGGGACAGCCAGAATTTGGCGATTGTACAGTAGCCAGCAGAAGCAGAAGTTTACTGAATGAATGAAACACCATTGGGCCTGCGTCGAGATGTGTTCACCGGTGTAATCAGTCCGAAAGAAACAATTGCAATCGTGTCGTACAGCAGGCGTGAATGCAACGCCGGGGTGCATACCGTAAATCCGATGCCTCATAGGTCCGACACCTCAAAAGTCCGAATTTTCGGACTTATGAGGTGTCGAAATAATGAGGCGTCGGATTTAGGGACATTTTTCTAGCCTCATAGTTCCGACACCTCATAGGCCCGACACCTCATAAATCTGACTTCGGACCAACGAGGTGTCGGATTTAAGTGGCGTCAGTGCAATTGACTGTGAAACATGAAGGACGGTGCGGGCCCGCGCGACGTGTCGCCCGTGAGCGCGATTTAACCCAACTCGTGCCCACGGTACTGACCCTGTTAGGAAAATTAAATCAAGCAGACTACCTGCGCAGTTCGTACACTGGTCCAGTATCTTTTAAATCCAAAATACCACTACGTGTAAGAATGATATATGATACTTCGCTAATTTTAAAACGCATTTTTTCGACTGTAATACTTTTGAAATCTTAAAAATATTTGTATGTGTCATAAATAGTACACCATACTTACACCGGGAACCAGTCTTGTTCATAGCGCCGCCTTCATGCGCTCGTTTCGAGCGTCGAATCAGACGTCGGACTTTCGAAGCGTCGGACTTACGAACTTACCCCAATCATGGACCCCAATCCTTCCACCATGCCCCAATGCAACATGAATGCATGTTTGTTTTTCTTTTGTAGGAATGCTAAAAAAGTGACTGTACCAGCATATCCTTTTGGCCTTTCAGAAAATTGCCCCCCCCCAACTGGATAGGTCACTCAGGGATATCGGGGGGGGGGGGGCTTTCGTTTTGGATGCAAGCAAAAAAAGGGTCATTAAATGGACTAAATGCATGGATACCCCACTGGCTTTGCACCATGCATACACGTATACGGGTAGCTCACCCTTGAAATGGTAACATGATTTTGCACAACAAAAAATAATGCCCTTAATTTACTCTATACAACTTTCCGCAAAAAGTAAGATCAGGTATCTAACGATTGATTTTATACTAATTTTCAATTGCTTGTTATTTGACACCTGATGACGTGTTATGACCTTATCACCGGCACGTCTCAGGATCAGGGTTGATGTCAATTCCAAAATACAACTTTTACAAGTTCGTGCGTTGTACCGTGGTGGAATAAGGACCCGGAGAAGCCGGTATTGTCTAGGAAAAAAGAGAGAAATGTGGAATCGTACGATTTTGAAAAGTGCAGCAGGCATGCAGCCTCTATTTCTCTGCCTGAGCTCATCAATCACGATGCGTGGACAATTAGGCTTTGCGAATACAGTGAAACCAATCGGCCGGAGAAGCAACGCCCGTGAAAACGGAACGATGACGTAATGGCACTGCGTGTCATGCATTACCACCTTATAAACTTTCACGTGAGAGTTATTACATGTATGACGTAATCATTCGAAGAGATGCGTCACGTGCGTGTACTTTTTTCAGAAAAATAACGTGTTGCCCGTCAAGAAGCATCTTTGCAATAGGAATGGAAATACTACAACGTGTGCGTCACGAGCTTGGTCATTTTTCTTGGTAAACACCGAGAAAAAACGTGACCGATTTGCGTTTTGTATTGACTCCCAACTTTGATACCAAATAAATGGTTGGTACACACACAATTACTTGTAAAAATACATGCAATTGATTCATCTTGGGAAATCAATCATTTCTTTGCAGAATAAAAAAAATAGATTTTTTCCCATACATTTGGCAACTGGAAATTGTCGTTACAAGTATACACATGTACAAGTCTCTCTTTTTTTTTTTAATATAGTCATTAAAGACTTATAATCATAGAACTTTGCCAGGCTAGGATAGCATTAAATAAGGTTTCCTTGCGACTTATAAAATATTTTAAGAAAAAGCATATGAGGTGAAAAGCCTTCCAGGTATATCTCTGGCAAATTAAAAAAACAAAACCAAAACGCTGGGTGGGATTTTTTTGTTGAAAGGCCTATGGCACTGATAAATTTTCTATGTTCACCAATTGGAAACAGTTAGCAGTGTGTTATCTAAAACATTGAATAATCAACCCATCCCATCCCCACCCTTGGGATGCCGTCTTAAGCCATCTGTTCATACTCAGAAATACACGGTGATCAAATTACATTTCTTTGAATTCATGAGCATCGTCATCTGCAACTTGTTCCAACGATGTGATTATCACTTCATGAAATCACCCCCATCTGCTTCAAGATGTACACGTGTATTTTCAGGCAGATAATTTCGAGGGGCTAGGGTTTGTTTTGTGGCAATTCTTTGATCTCAAATGTTACAGCAAACATCATCAAGACTGTTTGACAGTAATTTCATATGGCCAGTTGGTATCCAACTCAAATGCTTGTTTCAGTGTTAAGAACAGCTTGAATATCTAAATTCTTAACAGTACATTACTAGAGGTCCATTCCGATGAGGGTTTCTTTCCGAGGGCTCCCCCTTCCTCTCCTTGCTTGTGGCAATGCCACAAAATGTCACCTCATTAATGAAATGCACATGAATCCATACTACTAAGGTAATTTTTGTAAAGGATGTCCCAAACCCAACTTGTTTCTGTTATGCTACCACTCTCCTTAAAAAAATACACACAGCTTTTCAAACAGCAGGTGATTTACCTGCAGACAAGCTAGATATGTATTACTCATTGAGTTATTTATTTATTCATGACAATGTCTCACGTGAACTGACAAACGTGGGGGAAAAAGGTTATCATTTGACACTTATTTCAACAGATCAGGAAATACACGTATATGCTTACCCAACCTTTTCACCTACCTTGTTTTATGGAGGCAAGATTTCTGACCACAATTTTTATCAACCTATGTGGCCACAAAGGTTTATTATGAAAATTTAAATGAAGCTTGACCTATAGTAGTTATCAATTTTATCCCTTTACTAATTAATTGAACAAATGTATCAAACTGGTGAATATAACCACGATGATGCAAATTAATTAACCAGAATTTCATCAAGGCTAATCAAAGTTAAGGTAGAAGACCAATGCAGATAAACATCAAAAGGTTGCAAAATATAACTGATGACTACTTTTCAACCCATTCACCAAGACAATCTGCAGGGGTTACCTTAAACACAGTTTTCCTCAGCCTCAGAAAAAAAGGGTTTTTAAAATTCCCTTTCTTTTTCATAAAAGGCTTTTAACATACGGGCACATACTGCTGGTCATTATGATCAACAGACAGCTCCTCTATTTAGCAAATAAGCAGAGCAGTGGAAATTTTTTACTGCGAATATGCAGCAATAAAGGTCTTGTCCGCCAGATGAAGTTCTTACCGAGAATGGACACACAAGTAACCCCACAATACATTTTGTACATTTGAGACTACTGCCACTGATGTCATAAAGGAGCGCAACACGTGCTTGTTTTTCTGTAACACGTTCTGAATATCTGAACCCGACCAGGAGAGGGGCACACCGCTGAGACAAAACAGCATTTTACCAATACCAGTGTTCCGCCCTCTCCCATGCCCCTCCCCTTCATGAAAAGACCTTAGACGTTACAATTCAATACTAGTCAGAGTTCACACTTCACTTCCATGTGACAGCAAAGCAAACGGTTCACGCAGTAACAAATGGCAAACATCACAATGAAATTGCAGTCGTCATACTGCTTTTCTCTGAGCAACATTTTTCAGCAGCACGGCATTTCCAACCAGTCAGCTGTGTGAAGCCTTCACCTGGTCACATCCAGCATGACAATCTGAGGTTAAGGTTAGAAGATTTGTTACTGCCAACTGAAACCGAGAAACAAGTACATAGTGCTCCTCGATAAGTGGAATCCTAAGGAGTTGTCTGTGTTAGTGGTTAGCAATGCAAGCTCCGAGTATCACTAATTGCCAAACATTTCTACAGAATGAATATCGAGAAGCAATGTGGCCGCAACTTGAGGCTGTATCTTTGACATGGCTGGGTTGTACACAAAACATTTTTTTTTCCTTTTCAAAAGAAGATCTCCTAATATCTTTAAACACACATATAAATTCACTTGTCATCACTTCTTCTTTCCGGTTGCTGATTTCTTATCTTCCTTAGATGGGGTTTCCTTGCCGCCGGCCTTGTCTGTTTTGTCCTTGTCATCTTTGTCCTTTTCTGACTTATCCTTGTCTCCCTGGCCTTTCTCTTTCTTGTCCTTGGCCTCGGGCTTGCCCTCCTGCCTCTCAAGGTCCCGGTTCTGCACCTTGTTGCTGATTAGGTTGTGCAGGGCGATGACGGAGCGGATCAGCGACGCCAGGTAGATCACCAGCATCTGGTCGTTGGTGGTCACCACGAACGAGCGCACAAACTCCCGCAGGTTGACGTCTGGCAAGAGGTTGAAGATGTCCTGGAGCTGATAGATGATGGTGTGGTTGATGGGCAGCTTGCCGGCAGCCACCTGCTCTAGGTAGCTCTGGACATGCTGCATCTGGGAGAAAAAGCCCTTTAAGCCCAGCAACTGGCCTGTGATGCGTTGGGACAAGCTGCCCACGCTGGTGTCCTTGATATCCCTGTATTATTGAAATCCATAACACATTGGGGAACAGTTACCAAGATCAAATGAGAAACTGCACTCATATTTGTTCAAACTGTTTGGGGGACGCTAGCCAGAGGCCATTAAACCTGAAACACCATGTAGCCAGGGATCGCGCCCCAATAACACAGTACAACCTAGGAAGTGGTGAACAGGGATCATAAATGTTTGATAAACCACTTTCAACGACCAAAGAAATCAAAGCTTCATCTACATCAAACCCATCCCGCCCACCTGACCACTTTCTAGTTGAGACCCCTTGTAGCCACTGCAAGACCCACAAGATGAACACAAGCCCACCAGTCTGAATTCAAGCCACAAGCTATTCAAATGAACAGCAACAAAAGCATTCCTTTGTCAACGTTTGCCCTATTACTTGTGACCCACCTTGTGAACGATCTAATGTCTGGTCTTCTGGTAGATGGACTCAACTACTAACACTGCTCTTAACTTGAACTGTTTTGGCATACTAATGAATTGCATCCAAACCAAAACATAAAAAATCATCACTGTCAACAGAGAGTGCTGCATTTACTTATCAATCCACGTGTGGTACCCTAACCCTGTCAGTTGCAACAAAATTAAAAAGCGGTCAGAAGCTACTGTCTCCTACTGGATTTAGCAGTGAACACAAGTGACAGGGTAGACTATGCCAGAGCTGTATATAGAGACAGTAACACCAACTACAGACTGGAACCAAAATGGCTGTTCATTATGTATGCAATACAGCACACATAATGAACAGCTCTTTTGAAAGATTATTGTGTGTTAATTGTCACGGTCCATCAAATGCATAATCAACCACTTTGGAGCCAACAATTGAGACACTCATGTCGCAACTCTCTATACACAGCTCTGGACAATGCCACTGCTACCAAATAGGCTATTCCACTGTGCTGCACACCCAGAAGGGCTCCATGTTTGTTTTGTTTCTTTTCCATTGACCAGATCACCTGAAAACATCAGATGGGTTAAGGATGAAAACTGCCTACATGAAGCAGAACTTCAAGAACTGAAATCCTCACCTGAGAAGATGCTCAACGCCCACCTCCTCAGCTTCCTCTGCCCCCATCTCACTTGGTACATGCTCAAAGGTCCTACTGGTTGGGGTGCCATCCTGTGGGTAAAGTGAATCACACAAATTTGTCATTGAAAATATTGTGTAATCAAAATTTAAATGTCGCCTAGTTCTATTATCCTTTGCAGACTATGCGACTGTTATCCTGTGAACTTTGACATTCCTTCAATTTCTGGTCATCATCGACGACAATCACAAAATTAGCTGTGAAGAAAAAAATTGCATGATTTTCAGAATAAGACTTTCACTTCCGCAAGACTGAAAAATGACATTTAAAATCAGCTGGTTCTGAGCGCTTACATGGAACCCCTGAAGATTTACATCATTTCTGGTCTAAGAACAGGTGGACATTCAATCTCACATCAACCATAAAGCTGCAAGCCATTAAAGTGCTAAAACAAATGCATTCTGCCGCGAGGCTGGGTAAAACAGTCTCATTTAGAAATGCTTCCTTGACAATACAAAGTAAAAGACAAGATAAATCACTTACATCATGGACCTCTTCCACTGCAATGTATGCTTCTGATGGGAGTCCCAGCTCCTTGGGCTTGGCATCAATGATTACTAGAACCTACAAATCCCCAAACAGAAGCTGACAGTCACACTCAGTTTTCCTAATCTGAAGCCCCCATGTGGTGGTGTTTAGAAGCCTCTTTCCTTTTTGAATCCTTCACACTGTGGCACTCTCCACAAACCTAACGCTAAAGTCTTGGTGCCTAAACTTTTCAAGGGACATCAAACCCCATGGGAAGTACACAGGAACTGGGCTCTACCTTCCTCCATTCTGTGGAATTGCCCAAATATGTCCTTCTGCATCTTTAAGGATCTGTGGTGGCTACAGTGAAAGTATTTTGTATTTAAACAAGCTTCATAACCTTTTCTCTGGGTTAAATATTTTCAGAACCCCTCAGGAATTCCCAGACTGTGTCACACATATGAAATACTCTCATCAAGGCCATTCAAACATGACAAAAAAAGAAACTTGCATGATCGTTTCCTTTGCTTTGGTCAGTGTAACTTAATTTTGATGAAATATGAAAAGGATACACTATAATTCTGACAGATCAACATAAACTGTCAAAGAAACTTGTTACAAGTCTATCTAATACTGCATTTGCACTGAATTCTCTGCAATTTAATTAAAAATGGACTCTGTGACTCACTGAACTTGGGCAGTATTGTCTGATGACTTCGTTGATCCCTATGTCATTCTGATGCAATTTAGGACCAGTGTGGTACCAACCGACTATCTTCTCTCGAGCTGTGGGGGAAAAGAGAACAAGAATGGAGCCAAATTTGTTCATATTACCGTCTCTGGCATCCACACAGTCCAAATGTTAAGCACAATGTTATACGTTGGTCCCCAGATATGTTGTGATGTGATTTGTTTGTGTAGTACAAAGCACAGTGTAACCAAATGCTCTGAAACACCGTAGTGCATAAATTCAATTCTGGCTGCATTGTGCAGAATTCTCATTCCAGCTGTGCCGGATTTTGTTTCAGCAAACAGGGTGCCAAGAGAATTTAGTCGAGGGTCAGGGGTAGATGTCGAAGGGCTAAAGTACTGTTTACGAGTACCTTACCGTTGACTTTTTTGAACATGCCGTACATGCTTTCCAAGTAGTCATGGTCCAGAAACCACACTGTACTGTCTTTGTCATCCTCATCGAAAGGCACTGAGACAGAACACAATGCAAAGGTAACAGTAAGCATGAAAAGTGAATGAAATGAAACCAGAGAAACTTGTTGGAATCATCTGTCTTCGGTGTGAAGATAGTCAGCAGATAATTCTCTCTTCTGCTGAACCATTATATACCACCATTTCCTTACTGAATGTTAACTACAGAAATTTATAAAATCCTAGTTACTCGGGCTTGGCCTACCAAGCAAAGTACACATTCCATACATGTTGGGCAGAGTTAGGGGATCTATACCATCAGTCAATCATGCTGCACTATTGGACAACAGCAATGCCGTTACTTTGTCCTTGGGGGTCCTACCTCCATGCTTTGTCTACTGCCCCCAAATTGTCCAGTGCCAATTTAGGGCAGGCCCACTGTTTTCGGCACAGTCTGGGCATACCCAACTTTGGCTGGGGATAAACACCTAAAACTTTTCGTAAAAGAGACAAAAAACAATAACATATACTTGATACATGCACAGGCCCCTAGGCCTAAGTAGGGCCTACAAGCTGACAAGAATAATGAAACAGATGAAAGGCCTACGAAAAACTTGCAAGAGTCAAGATTTCACTAAAAGTAAAACCGACCTAACGAAAGCAATCAACACATTTTAAGCATGTGTTTTATTCCTCCATGTTTAATTTAAGGAACAAATGCAAACACAAACCAGCAAAACTGTTCGAAACATCCAGAACCCCTTTTCTCCAAGCACCAAGCAGAACGCCAACAACTCTCTTCTGATTTCGTATTCTGTTGAAATGATCTACTACACTCAGCAGCACCAAGGGGTGAACTACCACCTTGTTTATTTCTAACTGCGGGAGGGGCATCCCTTCTTTGAAACACTCATTTACAGGTAACAAGCAGAGAATTTACAGCCACTTGTAAGCTCTCAAACTTTCGTTTGCCTACAAATATACAGCAGGGGTGCGCGCCCAGAAGGAAAAGGCATGCAAGATGACTTGCCGAGTTTCATTCAAGAGTTTACAAAGTACGCATGCGTAGGGAGTGAGGTTTGGTTCTACAAAGTAAAATGCCTCTGCAAGTTGCGTAAAAGCAAACGGACGTACACGAAAGACAAAGAATATTCTTATTAGTTTGCAAGCAAGATTTAATAACTGCACTAAAGAACAGTGGGCATCAAGCACTAATATTATACTAACAGCTTGTAGATTTTCACGCAAAAGAACTTTATTCACTCTTTCTTTGTCAACAGAAAATTCACGTTCCGGAGGGCGCTATATAAATTTAATGCAACCGCTGCGTGAGCACCATATCCTACGGAGGCGTATTACTGCCAAAGCGAAAACAATTGTACATTTTTTAAACGACATACATGTATTCATCTTCGCTGGTCGCCCAGCGCCCGAATACCGTTGGGAAGGGCTGATGGCCTTGCGCAGATTTTAGTGAAGGAAATATGTCACATGGGATCACAGCTAACGAGCATTGTGGGTAAGTTTCTGCCAGGTGCAAACTTGCTTAATGTGGCGGTTATCAATTCGATATTTTGATTTTTCTTCCTCATTGCTGAAAATATTCTCATCACACTTTATCTGTTCATCCAAAATTGATAAAGATAACCCATAATTTGAAATATATCGCCAAAAGACACGTGATCAGTGATACTTAGTGAGAAGATAAATTACCATGATTGTATCAAGGCCATGTTTTTATCATGTAAGCTGACACTTTAGCATACATCAAAGCATTGCCATTGGCGAACCAACAATTTCAAATAACGCTTCGCTAATAGGAAGTGATAACTTCACGGTCACAGGTCAAGAACAAAGTAGCCAATCACAGTGAAAAGCCATCACTCTGTTCGGACGCTGGAAGCGAGCGAACTTATTATCTCATTTAAATGACTTATTTTCTCGTTTAAACAACATACATGAAGATATCTCGTTTAAACAATATAGTCGTTTAAACGTGACAACTAAGTCGTTTAAACGAGATAACTATGTCGTTTAAACGAGATAAAAGGTTTTTTTCGCGTTGGCACCAATATGCCTCCGTAATATCCCAATCCCAACCAGACAAATTTTCTGGGATATCATTTCCAGTGTGCAATCATTCCACAAATCATGCACGGCGCCCTCGTTTGACTAAACCCAAAGGAAGACTCGGATAGTTTTTGCCTAACTTCAACATGTGAAAATGTGAAAACCAACCTTTTGGGACCGGGAAGTGACTAAAATATCTTCTTTTCTACAGAGCCCACACCTTTGTAGCATGCACTTCGAGTGAACATTAAAATTGCTGCTCGAATCATGTCGCAAAACACATACACAAACGGAACGCCGTCCAAACAGAACCAGGCGGACCAGAACGCCCGCTTGACCAACAGACACATCCAGACTCTCAGTTTTCTGCAGGACGTTGCTAGGGAAAACAAGGAATTAAAAGCACGCGTTGATGAACTTGAGGTAGGCTTAGGCCACTTCCGTGACTCCTTACGCATTAAATGTATTGTTGGCTATACTTTAAGAAAATGTAACTTTTTGTTAATTTGTTAAACTAGGCCGAGGCCTATCGTGGATGGAGCATCCTAAATTCGCGCATACAAATATTCCCTCATCCAACTTTCTCGTCGTGATGCACTGAAGTTTAATTTACTGTCGATGATCGATCGTCACTTCGACGTTTTTCTTTTTGCAGCTATGTGCGAATTAAAAGCTTTTCCAGGGAGAATTCGGGAACAATATCAACGAAGCATAAAGCTGTACTTTACAGACTAATTACAAAAATGAACAGGGTAAAATTGTCTAGAAAATGGATAAATGATCGCTGTTCATTCATGATTGATGTTGGGCATCTAATACAGGCACTAATGACGACTTTGATCAACTTTTGCCAAATTTTGGGGGCGTTATCAAAAATATGGAGCCTGAAAAAGTACTGCATGCCTTATATTTTGAGATTCCCGTTGGCAACTTTTTTTCAGAAATACACAGAGAAGGATAAGTTTTGTTACAATATCCAGAAAACTAACTCGTATTAATGCTAATTATGATTTATTTGAAAGAATAAAAACTTATGCCTCACTGTAACTTCAAATTAAATTGAAAAAAATTAAAATCTAAGAGAATGAAAAAGAGAAAGTGACGGAAAGTCAAGCTATTGCGAAAAAAAGTTTTTTTTCTCAAATTACATCACTAAACCAAAGTAATTAATGCAAAAAATAATCCCTCATTCAAGAGACATTAACTGGCATTTTTTTCAGAAGTAACATGCGTGACAGTATATTCGCCATGTCCCTTATTTCACCACCTATTGCCAAGTACATGTATCATTGGTTGTCACAGTAAGTCTCGAAATTAGGGAGCTGGCGACTATACTCTCGCGCACGGTAGGGCATTACTGATACTCCGTAAAATGACGTTTGCAACGTACGGCTTGAATTATGGTGATGTAGGTTTTACTACAGCTGTGCTGATGACCTTTTTCCCGTTACTTAAGTGACATCCGATGTTCTTCATAATATTATTCGTGCAGGATTTTAGTCAAACTTTCAACTACTGAAAATGAAGCCATAAAAATGTAGAATTTTTAAGAATAGATTTTGGTCAAAGTACCACTTAAGTGAAGTATGGTGACCCGTGGATACATGAGATGGAAAGCGTGAACCAACTTGTGGTACGAATGCTGGTCAACTCGTATGCTTGCCAACTGGCAGAGGGTGGGAGGAGCAGATGCCCCCCCTCCCCGGTGGTCCCATTTGAAATTTGTGAAAAAAAATCTCCGTTGAGTTTATATACATGTAGCTATTCAGTTGCAGCTTGTTCTTGTGGTGCCCCCTTGTGTACCTCGGATGCCCACAGACATGATTTAGCCCTATCCCACTGCTTGCCCTCTAGGCCTGTGATATGTTTGATTTTCTCCCCAACTTGACACCACCACCAAGTCTGGTAGAAAATTGGGTGTACTCTTGTGTGTATCGATGTTATTTCAATGATTAAACTTTAACTTTTCATAAAGCCAACATAGTACTGTGTAAGTTATAAGTGACAGTGCCTGTTACTTACATTTCTTGACTAGCCTAGGTTGGGCATTTCAATGTTAAATCTTGATGCTATTCTTTGAAAATGGATACTTTTTTAAAAATTTGTTCTAAAAAGAGCAATGTTTGATGTTTTCTGGTTCTTGACTCCAGAGTTGCAGTGCACAAGTTGGTACATAGTTGATCGCTGTTGGAACATCCGTATATGGAATTTTTCCCACTTTAAAGATCACTATCAGTCTACGCTGATCCAATTTCTAAAGCATCATCCAAAGTGACAGGTCCTCGTGACACTCTGCATCAAGATCAAGAAATTACTGCTGATGGTGTAACTGTGAGATGTATCACACTTGTAAACATACATGTAAATGCCACCTCATTAGTTTGACTCAAACTTGATGTCTGTTTTGATTAAGTGATAGAAGTGCAGTAAAATCCCAATCTGACAATGTGGGATTCGGTCTCACTACTGTGTATTAGGCTGTATCCCAATCTATTGTCTAGAGCTAGGTCTAGGTCTTCACCAAAGATCGTATAGCGCCGAAGAAGCAAGATGGATAACTCTGCCCAAAAGATGTAATTACCATGGGCGCCATTTTAGCAAGCGATACACCTGCACAGTTTACAGTAATGCTTAGGCGCAGGCTTGGCAGGTGCACGTGCCTGCCACGGCGCCTTCGCCTTTGCATTAATGTGCATTGCGCAGGCGTATCGCTTGCTCAAATGGCGCCCATGCGATTACAACGTTTTACATGTACTCACGGTGAAGTTCGCCATCTTGCGCCGCTACATGGCACTATACAATCTTTGGTCTTCACTCCATTGGAAATAGGCAGAGATGTGCAGACAGTGTAGACCTAGTCATAGCTCTGGAAGCCTGTTTCGGACGGTGAAAACATACAGGCACATAGACAAATTGATCAGCCTTTCCTGAAGCTCCTAGCAAAATTTGCATCCGTCAACTGTATCAAAAGAAATATTTGGTGCCTTGTCTCTACATGTATTTCTTCACACTTTCTGCATAATCATGTTACCAGGCTACTTGAAAGCCCAATATTTCAAACATTTGAAGTTGGACATGCTAAGCACAATCTTAACTCTTGCGCAAACTTATTTTACTCCCTTCTGAGCTGTTTATCCTCTGAATGGATGTTTTTCAAAGGCAAATCAACTCAGGAGGGAGGACAAATTTGCGCAAGTTTCAAGATCAAGCTCAACAGACATGAACCAATCCGGTTGTTGGCTCCAAAATGAAATCGCTCAACTCCACTCCTGAGTGCAAATGCTTTCTCCGAGGAAAACTGAAGTAACTAAGACCTCAAAGGTGGCTGGGGAAATATTGAAGACTTTTTCTTTGCCTTATGAACCTTTGGGGAACTTTAGTTGACTAAATGGTGAGTAAAATGTGCCAAGGGTTTTTTGTTTGTCTACTTTTTTGCACTGGAGGCCCCAGTCTGATTAATCCCTGCATGATCTTCAGGATGCCTGCAAAAGACAGACCGGAAAGCTGGGGTTTCAACTCGCTGTGCAAAGTCAAGCCTGCTGGGTGCATCTATGTTTGTGTACCAACCTATGAAAAACTTTGTTTTGTACAGCTTTGTAGGATTACTTGTCTGTCTGTATTCTAAAACCATGCGTCAACAAAACTGACAGCCAAATCTTAAATGCTTAATCAGTAAATGAGCCTTTCCCGTTGCATTATGTAAACAGTGCAAACGTTGTGCAGCAAATAAATTTTAATCCAGCTGTTTCACATGTCATATTAATGATACATGGTTGTAAATGCATTAGAAATGTTATCTATGTATAGTTCCTACATGTTGCATTTAGAGTACATCATTTGTTCCATCTCATTTTATTATATACACGCATGAACTCAAAATGTCTGTGCCCAGGAGAAGTCAAAACTTCTCCCTGTAAAGAAGGATGGGTTAGTGCTCTAGTAATTTAATATAGCCCTTTGGGACAGACCTATTACATTTTGTTCTGCGCTTATTGCAGACAGAACTCAGCCAATGCAGCGATCTACACACCCTCGGTAAGGATACCAAGCAGCGCATTCAAAGACTCCAGGATGACTTCAACAGACGTCTGGACCACAACAACAAGGTACTGACGCAGAAGCACAAGGATGAGGTAGGTCAGAGGTCGTCGGCCATTTTGACAGGGTGTCATGCCTTTTAGACCAGCGCTCGGTACTTTAGCCAATTATGCTCTTGTTAAAGAGATTTTTATTCATACGTTGTACCTCCTGCATTATAAGTGTTCACTAAACCCTTGCTTCCTTTGCTTGGTTAGACATAAGAGGACGTCAAGATACATGTAGTACATGTACCACAGTTACATGCATTTGGGTTCTGTGCTTTCGTAAATTTGAAGTGCGTGTGCCTTTGGCCATTTGCGAGGTTCTACATTGTCATCAATAACCTACATGTATGCTTGAGCTTAGTACATGTGCAATCTCGTTGTAGCATTTAAATTCAATCTCTGGCTGTTAGTTGAGTACCCACATGTAAAAAAGGTCCTTGAACCACTGATTTTTCTGGACCTTTTCCCTCATGTGACGTCACCAAATTTCTACATTGAGGATCTCAGGACACATTCAGTTAGATATGGGTGTCCGAATGGAAGTTCCTGTCAAAATCAGGTGTAGAATTCATCGTTGGAAGTTGAAAATGTGAGGTCTGGACATTTGCCCAAAGTTAAGCTTAATGCCCTCAACGTGGAATGTTTGAACATATCGGAATATCCCCCTTCCCCACGTCTTACTGGAGCACTAAATTAAAGCGCAAGCCTTTGAAGTCTGTTGAGTGTATCCATGCTTGTACACAAACCTACATATGTGCCAACAATTTGCCCCAAAACTAAATACATAAGCAGTAAATGAGCATTTTGGTTTGCTTCATGTAAGCAATGCAAAGGCATGCACATGTGCACTGCAACTGAATTTTGCTGAGGCTGTACATGCACTGTCATGCTAGTGATAAAAATGCATTTAATGTTATTTATGCATTGCGTTTAGAGTGCATGTACATGTACGTTGTTCGGCATTTGTTCAATCTTATTTCCTAACATTTCACCAACGCGCATGATTTGTAAATGTCTGCACCCAGGAGGTTATGGTTATGCAAAAATCATTCATGATATTGTATCGGAAATACATACATAACTTACTCCTAATTTTGTTGGTCTCTCAATTGGGTGTCAGTTTGGGATAAGACCTCTCCTCTGATAATGAAGTACTCTATTAGAAAAAATTAGAGAGTGCCACTGAAGACTTCAGTTGCCATTTGTATTTTTGGTGTCAAACTTGCATTGATTTGGTGTCCACGTTTTACACTTTCCATACATTTTGATGGTAAATGGGAATATCTAATAGGCTTAAAATTTGACCCCCCCAGCACCTACTAGTACTAATAGGTGCCTATTAAATGGCACCCTACTAGTACTAGTAGGTGTCTATTAAATGACACCCTACATTTACATGTAGGCGCCACTGGTAATTGTTGTTTTTGAAGGCCCTCTTCAGTCTTGGGTCACCAAATAAGTACATAAAAATGGGATATGCATAGAAATTGATTAGTAAATATAAGGGCAGAGACAATGTGTATCATTCCAATGCTAAATGTAAATAATGTGAACTGACAAGTCAGGGATTCAGTCTTTGTGAAGTTTTTTGGGGGATCATTTGTCTGATGTGAATCTTCAGTACAGTGCCTATGAGGCAAGCGACTTGCCATAAACACCAATGCAAGGGCCAAAATGATCGACCATTAATTCGAAGTGGGCCCTCTATTGTCTAAATGTAGCTTATTCCTCTTCCCCCTCTTCAGTGACTGCCACTTTTCCACAGTTAATTGTGTGAGTGAAAAACTCTATTGATCAGGTTCGTGGGGAGCTTTCAGCGAGATCAAGTATTTTCCTGTCAGGAGAAGTGAAACCAAGGAGCAGGGATTTAGGGGTCATCTTAATCTTGACAATAAGACCCTTAATTCAGGCCAGTGACAGACTTCTAGCATTCTGCCAACTTGGTTGATGTTCTGTGTTCCATTACAGTCTATTACATGTACTGTATAAAGCCGACAGCTTACAGTGGCTGTTTTTACCAAATGTCAAATAATTACAAACATTGGCTAAATTGAAGGAACAAGTTCTATTTAGTACTGTCTGAAAAGTAAACAGCTGTAAACTTTGGCTGTTGTTCCGACTTGGCCTGTAGGAACCCTGAATAATATACCCAGCAAAATATGGGACAGAGGGGTACCCCTTACATTTCCAATCCCTATACACACTCTAATCTATTGTTACCTAAGGTAACATTGTTACCTTGTCATACCTCCCTAGAGGTCTGACAAGAATTCCTGAGATTCCCATCAAACAATAACCAACACAAAGGTGGGGGATGCTCTCCTTAGCCATACATGTACATGTATCTTGCTTCAAATGTTGAATAACCACTAATGAAAGAAAATGCGAAAGTTCCAATGGCAAAAAGATTACACAAGTACTAATGTCATTTGAACACTTACCGCCAAAATTCAGAATGTGGTTCCCATGTCTAATTTAAAAGGAATTCTTGCATTTTAACATTGATACCTAGAAAATGTGGATGTTGAACCTACATATATTGTGCCAAACTGAGAAATATTTATTTTTCTTCACAATTTGGTGTTTTCTTCTGCTGAGGGAATCTACCAGTATTAGCCAGAGTAAGCCAACTTGAACCTGATCCTGTCCAACTTATTGCATGTAGGCCTGCAAGTTTATGATTGTTTGTTGCTTGAGTACATTTTCATTAATTTGATAAACATTTTTTCCTGTGCTAATTCTCACTTAAAGGTAATCAACTTCATTAACATACATGTAGAAGCAAGTAGGGCATCTGAGATGGTCCAAAAGGAAATGACTTTTTTATTAACCTAATGTTTTTACAATTGATGTCATCCACTTGGAGCATTTACATTGTAAATTATAAAACGGGCCATGTTTTGTGTTCTTTCCACTTGTGAGAGAATTTCTGTATTTTTACAATTAGTTCTGATTTATGGAAAAGAAAAATGTAACCGAATAATTGACTCAATTGAGTGACTAAAAGTACTTGTGGCCCTTCAAATAAATTGACAAAGTTTTGAAAAGTTTCCCTCAAGTTAAATTACAAAATAAAATGTGGAAAAGTATTTTCTCTAGTTTAAAAACATAGTCTCACCCTGAAATTCTTGGGTCAGTTCAAATTATACCTTTTCCAATTTCAATGTCGGCAGTTATTTCAAAAATTTAAACAAATTTCTGTTTCATTTGAATTATTTGAGATGAAAGTATTTGACAAGTAAAAAAAAAATTGTCCAGAAAATAAATAACTCTTTTAAAAAGAGTTTTTGTGGGAGTTCTGATATTTTGAGTTTTAATAAATCACCTGCTTACTTGTATTCATTCATTCAAAAATTAAAAAAGAACTATACTCCTTGCATGCAGTTTAAGTAATTGTTTTAAACATGATTTACAAAAGTTTCTGGTAGGCAGTGCAGACAAGTCAAGGATTGTGCAGTTCATGACTTCAAGTTATTATGGAGTTTCAAGAAGCGGAACAGGCCTTTTTTGTTGTGTCCATGTGTCATTTTGATCTGGTCGATTGATGAATGAAGACCTCAAATGTACAAACTGTATTGTCTAAAGTTACATGAAGCGTAATACAAATGCACTTGGTCATTTGATGGAGTGGTAGTCTCCCAAACAATACAGGGTAGTGTTTGTACATTTGCGTCATTGGCAATAAAACAGTTGTGTGTTGCAGGAAATGTATGTCCCAACACTGAATAAATTTTGGGGCCAAATTATACAATGTAATATGAGAATTAGGCCACTCGAGCTAATACAATTACGTGCGTGTAATTCACCCTTTCTACAAGCACCATGCGTATATGTGTGTGTGTGTGCAAGTGCAGGATCCGTCCGCTGCTCCCGCCATTAATTTAGAGTACAGTGACTGGCAGAAACAGGGTGATTCACCAAAACACTCACAAGCGCAGCTGAAAAAGTCAATACCACCTAGCGATGCCCTGCTGATTGCCGGCCGGAGGAGCTCCCAAAGAGGAGAGAGAAATGGACATTGTGCATCTTGAGTGAAGGGCCCTCCAATTCTTGGATTTCGGCAGTCGGGAACGATCTAGTCAAAAAGTAGAGAGAAGGAGCTGGCGCAAGAGGGGGAGAGAAAGAAAAAAAAGAGAGAGAGTCGAGGGGGGATGAGGGAACCAAATTTATTCGAGTCAATCAGAGTTTTTTTTTTCCACGTTTGTTGACACGACAGTAATTGACAAGTGTTGACTCTGCCATTTCCTGAGCGGCCCACTCCCTCTCTTGTTCTGGTTTGATTTCTGATGCAAGGCAATTTCAGCATGAGTGAGGAGTGTGGGAAGGAAGATCGAGGTAGGAGGTGACAAGGGGTACCGTACCGGTTAATTTGGGGTTGAGGGGAAATGGGGTTTGACCTTAAAAAATGGCTTAGCTGGGTTTGGAGAGAAGACAAGGAATTTTGAGGGGAAGCAAGTTTCAGTAGGAGTGAAAGTAAATAAAAATGCTAATCAGTTGGAAGCTAGTATATGTCGGTCATTTGTGCTGTATTTGTGGCACATGATGCAGTGCACATGTATGCATGATATAAGTGAAATGTGAATAAGGCTACCAGTACATTGTACGTGTAGATACTTCAGCAGCCTAATTCATGGGGGGGGGTGTCTGCAAATGTGTGACAAGGGGCACTTTTGCCTTGCTGTTGGATTAGCTACTGGTATATCCAGCAGGTTTTTCTTTTGTTGCAACCTGTTAGATATATAGCAGGCTTCACATCCTGCTTTTGATGGATTTTATTGAACTCGGGAAAAAAAAGAGTTGTTTCTTATGGTTACTGTGAATACTTCAATGTACGGCATTATCATAGCCCCGTAGGACTAACACACAATGTATTGCATGCCAGAGCACGTGTTTGGCTGCATTATACGAGGTACAGCCGCAGGTGAAACGATCACCAATTAGGACCTGAATTGTTACACGACCTGTTAAATAAAGATCTATCACTGCGCTCAGGTCCAACCCAATGTGTTTTTCTTTACCGACCGTTCCCTCCCTTTTCCTTATGCCCC